GCCTGCTGGGTTAGTGTGCTTCTGGCGTTCCCACCCCTCTTATCCGCAGATGTTTATTCGTTGGTTTCAGTCCCCGGATTGGACATTGGACCCTGCGGCATTGTGCAAGTTTGTGCTGTGTGTGAAAGAAAAAAAAAAAAAGACAGCTAAGGATCTTCGTTTTTGTTTGTGGTTTATTGTTTTGAGAGAGTCTCATTTTGAAGACCTGGCTGGCCTGGAACCACTTTGTAGACCAAGCTGACCTCAGAACTCGCAGAGATCGCCTGCTCCGTGGCTGGAGTGCTGGGACTGAAGACCTGCTCCACCACGCCCACCCCAAATTGTCAGGATCTGTAAAAATCGGAGCCCGTGTTTTAAGTCGGGTCCCCGAGAACTGGGGACTTTGGGGGAGGGGTGGGGCACAGCTGGCTTGAGGTGCTTGAGGTGAAACTCCAAAAACAGTTCCTTGTCTACCTTTGCGATAGAATGTGTTTTTCACACATGTGTATTGGAGGAGGTTTAGCCAAAAAGAATGTTAGTATAAGACCAAGTTGTGACTAGCTGTTACAATGTCCTCCTCAGGTTGTTAAAAAGTAGACATGGAGACGCTGAGTTGTTAGGTGCCAATAGGTCCAGGTGCAAAGGTCTGTGTGTTTTAGTCAGCCAGAGGAGCTTATATAAAACGAGTTTGGCAGACAAGCACAAGGTACCTGGTTCCGTGTTTATTTAACTCTAGTAGAGCCATATTCTTTGTTTAAATTTCTGTGGCAGTCTTGAGGGAGAGCATAGTTGGATTCATGAACTGAACAAGGCTTCCATGAACCCCTTGATCAGGAAAACAAGCTGGAATTTTAGGGGAAATGTTAGCCAACATGCAAAAACACAAACAACCCTAAACTAGGGGTGGAAATTTTAGGGAGAGATTATAACTCTCAATCCAAGAGCAAATGAGCCATGGAAAGCAAAGAATGGACCATGCACACCTTTAAAATGTACTTAACAAAGACATTTTGGTGTCCAGCTAGCGGAGGAATTAGGAGGAACAGGCCAGGGAGCAGAGGGTGTAGAATGTCCAGCTTCACTCTCCTGTCTTAGCTAGCTTCAAGGTGGTTTTGTTTCCAGATCCGCAGACCATGTAGGCGATTGTATTCAACAGTTCACTTTAACAGGCTTGAGCCTGGAATTTCTGCATCCTTGATTTCATGGTAGCACTGTTACATGGTGGCATTGCTATTCAAATCTTAAACACAGAAATGATATCCCTTGCCCCCTCAAAGGAATGCATTTTAGTAATAATAGATTGACATATAGTCAATAATAGAAAAGAGGCTGTGGGGGAGGGGGCTGGAGAGATGGCTTAGAGGTTAAGAGCACCAACTGCTCTCCCAGAGGTCCTGAGTTCAATTCCCAGCAACCACATGGTGGCTCACAACCATCCATTACGAGATCATGGACGCAGAATGTTGTTGTTGTATACATAATAAATAAAATCTTTAAAAAAAGAAAAGAAAAGAGGCAGGGAAAGTGGGGAGGACAAGCTGAGTACAGAGTTTAAAACTGAAAAAAAAAATAAACCATGTGGGAGGGACTAGAGAAAAAGAGAGATTAAAGAACAATTTTGACTTCGTGTATTTGTTCCCATTGCCTCAATTTCCAGCTCTTTGCCCTGTTGCCTCAATGGTTTAACCCTTAGGAAAGGCAGACACACCAATGGAAGTAGACATGTTGGCTAGATAAGGGCATATGGATGCATGTCTTCTATTGGTAGAGGGGGACAACCTCTCAGGAGGGTAATCTGTAATGTGTGTTAGAAGACCCTACAAATGTGTGTTCTTTGGTACAGGAATCTTTCTTCAGGGAAATCATCTGGAGGAAATCATTGGCCACAGATACAATGATGTGTGTTGTGGAATATAGTTTAAGATATGTTACATTCGTCTATGCTGTGGAGTATTTGTTTAATGATGCAATGCATTGCATTCTTTTATATTGCATTTGTTTAATCCTGTACAACTATGTTACTTTGCCTGTCTAAAACATCTGATTGATCTAATAAAACACTGACTGGCCAATAGCAAGGCAGGAGAAAGGCTAGGCGAGGCTGGCAGGCAGAGAGGATAAATAGGAGAGATCTGGGAAGAGGAAATCAAGGAGCAAGAAAAGGAGGAGAGAGGAGGTCTGGGACCACCCACCAGCCACACAGCCAACTCAGAGTAAGAAGTAAAGAGATGTATATAGAATATTGAAAAGTAAAAGCCCAGATGCAAAGGGCAGATGGGGTAATTTAAGTTAAGAAAAGCTGATTAGAAACAAGCCAAGCTAAGGCCAGGCATTCATAAGGAAGAATAAGTCTTCATGTATTTAATGTATTTATTTGGGAGCTGGATGGCAGGTTCCTCAAAAGCAAAGAGTAAAAAAAAAAAAAAATCAACTACATATGTGTATAACATCTTACTTTAGGGGAAGAGTTAATAGAAAAACTCACATGTGATGATTAATCTTCACGGCTGAATTTGGAATCACCTTGGAAACAGCTCTGGGGATGGCTGTGAGGGAGCTTCCAAAGAGGTTTAACTGAGAAAAGAAAACCCACCCTGAATGTGGCACCATTCTAAGGGCTGTGGTCTTGAGTGGAATAAACAGGAGGAAAAAGAAAGAAGCCAATTGAGTACCAGCATTCATTACTGTTTCTTGACTGTGGACAAAAGGTAAGCAGACACCTCAAGCTCACACCTCCATGTTTTCCCACCATGATAGACTATTGTACCCCCTCAAACTGAACCAAAAGAAACCCCCTCTGCCTTAAGTTGCTTTTCTCACAGCAATGAAAAAGTAAAAAACAAACAAACAAAAAATGAGGACAGAACAAATACAATAATACAAATGATTTGTATTACATAGCTACTAGAAGGGAAAGGTAGTCAAGTGATTATAGATATGGACTCCTATCCAAAATAGTGTTTACTAAAAACAAACAATCAAACAAAACAGGTAACTCAGAAGTTTACATGGTGCTCCTACTTTTAGATTTGTATTGGAAAGAGGCTTGGGTGGTGACTCCGTGGGCAATGTGCTTGCTCTACAGGTATGAGAACCTGAGTTTGAATCCCCATAATCCATGTAAAAGTATGTACCTGTAACTCTAGTGCTGAGGGGTGGTGATGGGAGGCCTGGATCTTTGACAAGCCAGTCTATCCAATTAGTGAGCTCCAGGTTCAGTGAGAGACCCTGTCTCAAAGAATAAAGTAGAGCCAGACGTGGTGGCACACACTCCTAATGCCAGAACTTAGGAGGCAGAAACAGGTGAATTTCTTAAGTTCACAGACAGCCTGGTCTACATAGCAAATGTCAGGCTGGCCAGGACTATATCATGTGACTCTGCCTAAAAAACAACAATAATAAGTAAGATAAAGAGACATAGAGGAACACCCTAAATTGGCCTGTGGTCTATGCACACACACACACACACACAGAGACACAGACTCTCTTTCTCTCTCTGTCTCTCTCTCTTACACACACACACAGACACACACACACACACAGAGAGAGAGAGAGAGAGAGAGAGAGAGAGAGAGAGAGAGAGAATTCCCTAAAGGGTCATTTGTATTTATTGCTTATGTGATACTGGGATTCAGATTTTCTTCCTGTTGTTCTTTTTTTCTTAATTTATTAAAACTTCCATATAAAGGACTTGCAAATAAAAAACACCACATAGCAAAATTAACTGGATCCAAAGTCTACACACCCCAGTGGCCTCTGTACAGTTAAAATGGCCATTTTGAAGCTGGAGCCATGACTTTGTTAATTTTTCTTAAGTAAATTATGTAGCAGGAACAATTTATATTTTGGAATCCAAGGGTTAGGAGGTGGGAAAGGAGGGTTGTCCTCACCCAAGGGGGATTTTAGTTTCCCCTAAACCTGGCTGGGCATGTGGTGCAGACCCTGCGATGCTGGTAGAACAGAGTACCACAGACTAAGTAACTTGTGATGAAGAAGTTTATTTTGATCACAGTACTGCAGGCTGGGAAACTCAGAACTTGGAGGGAGCCTTCCTGCTGCAGCACCACTTGATGAAGATGGGAATGGGGAGGTGAACTCCTTTACCCAACAAACACTGTTAAAAGTTTTCAGGCCGGGCGTTGGTGGCGCACACCTTTAATCCCAGCACTCGGGAGGCAGAGGCAGGTGAATATCTGTGAGTTTGAGGCAAGCCTGGTCTCCAGAGCGAATGCCAGGGTAGGCTCCAAAGCTACACAGAGAAACCCTGTCTCGAAAAACCAAAAAAAAAAAAAAATAGTTTTCAC